AATAACAATCACGCATTTACATATCTAAACTCCCCACGCTCACCAAAACGAGAGAACTCTCTCAATAACTGCGAGGCAAAACTTTCACTTTGTGGCTTTCTTGGTGTGGTCGACTGAGCCAACAGGATGTCACTCACTCGGTTCAAAAGGCCTTGAGGTTGGTCTCTGCTGGTTCTTTTTGGAAACTTGCGGCTTTTGACATCCATAACCATCTATTGGCCGCACTGCTATATTGCCTCACATTATCCAGACTTGAGGGGAATTATTTTTGGCAACGCTCTCTGAAATTTTCCCACTGCAAAGCTCTTAAAATGTGCTTGTTTTACTTCATACCCCCAACGTCAAGCTGGGAGACAAACTGCTTCGTCGGCTCGCCAAGGTTAACCGATCTTCTCTAATTGCAATTAGAGCAAAGTCCAATTAGCGTTTGACAACGATGCATTGTTGTAGGTGTGATCGAGGCTGTCTTTGGTGCATTGGGTGTCGTGCTAAGCACAGGAAAATCCAGCCTGTGAGGTGAAGCACTGTTTTCTTTGTCCGTCGTATGTCTATTAGGGCAGCTGTGCTGGAAAATGTTGCTAGAATGATTGCAGCGAGCTTGTTTTCTTTTGTTCAGTTTGCGTGTCAATATAGACAGGGCTGAAGTTGAGAAGAAGACGTCCTGATGGTGCTTGCTAACAAAGGTGGGCTTTAACATTAATAATAACACACACTTACTCCCTGGTGCTAATTTGCTTCAGACACTTGCGTTGAATCAGCACACAGGTGGCTGCACTTTCATCAAGCACGGCCTGCTCGTATTTATTTTTACAGTTCTCCAGCATAGTGCCTCTGTTTTTGGACACTTTCGAGCACTGTCAGCGTGACATACTAATCACTAGAGCTTCACGGCGTTTTTCATTTACATAAGAAACCTTGACAAACTTGTGTAAGCAAACGTTTCGAGAAGCTTGTGAGAGCTTCAATTGTGCGTTTTACGTCTGTTTGGGAAAAGCGTTCTCACTCTCATGCCTCTCTATCTGTGGCACAAATTGTCCTGCTGCCAAAGAAAAAGAAGAAAAAAAAGGAGAAAAGTTCAAATGATTCTGACGTGTCATAAATCACACCAACTCTTGTGGCAAATCATTTTTTCCAGCCTTCTAATTAATACATTATTTATTTGCTTGACGCACACACACACATGCATGTGACTGTAAGTCATTTATATGGCTGAGTGCCGAAGCATATGTAGATAATCACAAACACACACACACACACACATTTATCGAGCTTTTTCATTTATGACATACTATAGACACTATATACTATAGATTGTAAAACGAATAAAAAGGACTTCAGACTAACCTAATGTATAACCCTAGTATTAACAGAAGCCCCGCCCCCCCTTATGTTTTGGTATATGTATAAAAAAAATAAAAGTCTATGTAATGTCCTCATTTAGATAGCTAAGAAAATGTGTGTGTATGATGAGGATGTTATTAGCTAAATATGTATGTATGTATGTATGTATGTATATGTACGTGTTCATTTATTTATATTTATATTTTGCTGATAATGATTTTCTCAGATGTCCCATAAAGGAGGGTTTTGTCAGATTTAGCTAATTTCTTTTGTTTTTCTTTTTTATTTCCCCTATTATTTAAATTCAATTCAATTCAATTATTTAATTATTATTATTTTTTTTTTCCTGTGGGCATTTATATTCACATTCATATTCTCAGTATTCCTATCAGGCGGTTTCCTGTTTTCCTGATTGTCCAATTCAATCAGTTCTATTCAGAAAACTGCATTCACCTGTATTTATATATTTCCAATACACAAACATCTGACAAAAAATGGAATATGGGGGGGGGGGGGGGGGGGGGGGTCATCAGTGCGTGTAGTGTGTGTATGACATAGTTTTGGGTTTGTTGTGCACAATTTGATACATATATTTATGTTTGGCATGAAACCAATGACCTACCTGGGAGCACCTGGTAGTGTTTTATAATCTAAACAGAGGTGCTGGTCCAAATCTGTGAAGACTGTTTCACACATTCTCATCACCCCACCAGCAAATTCACAACTTTTGGCTCTGTTTTTTTAGTTACATTATTAATTTCCATGGAATTCTACATTTTTAACACCTAAGAACTCTAAAAGGAAAAACTCTCTCATCCGCTTCCCAGAGCAAATGTAGAGCATTGGTCTGGCAGCAAACTGCCAAGTAATTATACTACACACACTTGTGTGTCTGTACTATGTGTTTTTGTGTGTGTGTGTTTAGCGTGGGCTGATGAATTCATGTGATTGCACACACTGGTATGTGCCCGTGCATATAAGTGAGTTTATTGCTTTCATATGCTGCGGTGCAGAAAATGAAAGACATGAATGAGGAAAAAAAAAAAAAAACATAATAAATAAATAAATGAGGAATATGTAGATACTGGGTCGGGGTTCTTGTTTAAAATGTGTCATGTGAACACAGCAGAAGCGTAAGGTTGTTTTGGATACGTGCTGCTCTGACATAGCTGCAGGATTGAATTATGGATGTAAGTAGTTTAAGTAGACTTGTTTGAGTATTTGTGATGTAATTGCTTCCACTCGGGCGGCTTGGATACATTGACAGCCTAATTTAGAGAACCACAGTTTTTGGGCAGTCTGCAGAGCTGTCAATCAAACCCTGATAAAGGCGGTGCAGACTGTAGAGGGGATTCTGTAAAAGAGTTACTTATTCTGTTTGCTTTTCCCCCCTCAGTGACTCACTCTCTCACCTTTGCAATCACATTCACCTCATTCACGTGGATAATTACAGATGGAACGTGCAAAATCAAGATGTATGCTGTATTATATGGTCTTTCTGTGTTCAAAAAAGAATCAGATTGAGAGTAGCATGGTTGACAGTTGGACAGTTTATTTTGCCATTGCCAGCATTGTGTTTAAGGTCATCGCACTTGAAGCTGTTTTTTTTTTTAGAACAAGATTATTTATTTATTTATTTACTATATATACTATATGTAATTTTGGTAACAGAGATGACAATGCAAGTTATACCCTATTACACAAAAAAATGCAAAAATAATAAGAAAAAACATTATAGACATTTAATTGCAGAGTTCACCTCCTGGGTAGATTTATTTATTTATGTATTTATTTGTTTTTTTGTTTATTTATGTTTATTTGTATTTATTTTCAGTTTTGTGCCATTTCAGCTAAAATCTAAAATATATATTGAATGTAAATGTGCATTTGTGTTAATATAGGAAGAAATTTAGACTGTCCAGGTCACAAATAAATAAATAAAATCAATAATATTAATAATAAAAATAAATCATCCACATTAAGAAAAAGGCATTATTAATTATTTTCAAATTATATATGTAATGTATGAATGTACATTTTTTTGTTGATGTGAAGAATAGCTGTAGAAAAATGCAAAGTTCTGTCATGAAACTCTAGGCAGGCCAACTCAATCTAACTCAATCTGACATAATGACATCATTACTCATGTGCCGCAGCTGATTACTTATTTTTGCATCAGCAGCCAATGAGCTTGCTGCTCAAACATTCAAATACTTGGCTAGTGCTTGCTGTAGCAGTGGCAGCACGCTTCAGAAACCCTCCACCTTCCCCAGCTCCACCTGTATATATCTGCTACAAGGTGATTCATGTATGTTTATATGGGGTTGTCTCATATATATAATATGTGCAGCAGCAGTATTTCTTGCAACCTCACAGCAGCATGACATGGATGTACTGGCAGTAGCAAGTCTCGGTACTTGCTCTGCAGCAGCAGCACCGTAGCAGATCTATTCTGCCAAGACCAAACACATTGACATTGCCATGCTAAACTCTCCATGAGTTGTCACGAAAGGACTTTATTTTTGGAAATCCCTGTGTTGTGGCACATTATAAACTTCTTCTTTTTTTTACCATTACATATAGATGTTAAATCAAAAGTATCACACTTTTAAAGAAAAAAAAAGCATGAGAAGGTGATACAACTGTAAACTAGACAACAGTCCTTTGTCAGCCTCTGTCTACACCTATTAAAAATATGTCTCACCTCATTTCAGTGAGAGTGCTTGTGTGTGTGTGTGTGTGTGTGTGTGTGTCAGGTTCAATCCAACACAACATTAGCATCCCGCAGAGCCTTTGCACATGCTCACACACGCTCCATTCAGAGGATGAGACAGGAAACGGGTGGGCACTGCAGATCAGTGTAAAACGGCCCAATAATCCCAGAGCACAGCCTCTTCCTGTTCAGCTCTGAATGAGCCACTGAGATTCATATGAGTTCCCATTATCTCCAAACCAGGAACAAGCTGGCTTCTCATATGAGCGACACTGGGTGCTTTCTCAAAAACCTGCTCTAGATAAATATCCCTGAAGGCCTCTAATTCCACATCTCCTCCAACTGCCCATCTTAAATATATACATTCATGCTCCCATCAGTCAGTGATAAAACTTTAGCATTCATTTGATCACAGGAGATGGTTTAACCTGCGCTGCTGTGCCGACTGCCCAGCAGGTGGTGCAGATTCAGACAACAGACTCATCACTCACTAGCCATTTAATGCTCACTTCTCGACATGTCTCAAAGCCCACATGTAATCTCAGCTAGTTAGAGTCTTTAGAATATTCTGGCTCATACTAAACTAAATGTCTATGAAGAGCATTTATGGTATACTGTCGATTACCTCAAACTATAAAAGTAGTTCCACATCAACAGGATGAAATTGGATGAAGTTCAAATATTGCTTCGGTTCTACTAATGAACCAAAATGCAAGTCATTTCTGCTTTTAAAAGTTCTCGAACACTTGTGCTTAGTGTAAGATCAGAACATCTGAATATGTGAAGACATACTGTACTTTTCTCTAGTCACTGTCTTTCGGATATTCAGTGAAGTGCTGATTTCACGCCATAAAAATGACATGATGTTGTATTTGTCAGTAGTCATTAGCAATCATTAACTAATGTTTAGTAGTTAATCATTAACTGTATCTTTTTGTCTTCACAGCAAATGCTGAATGATCATGAAACGTCGTCTCAAGACAGCTGTATTAAAAAGGTAGGATTCATTTTATGTCAGTTCTCCCCTCTCGACACGTCAGATATGTTGATATCACCACACACAAATATTAATAACGATCTATCTATCTATCTATCTATCTATCTATCTATCTATCTATCTATCTATCTATCTATCTATCTATCTATCTATCTATATGCTTCTTTCTTTCTTTCTTGATTATTCACTCAAACCAATTTCCGAATAGTTTGTGAATCACACAGTTCAACTGTTTAGCTTTATGTAAACAATGCAACATTTGACACCATGTAACGTAAATTACATACTGTACAGGGACCTCTGAAAACAATATAGTGATGGTTTTAGGAAGCTGATTCACTACAGTAACCAGACCACTCAACAAAATCGTGTTGCTTATCAGTGTCTCTCAGAACTAGGGATGTGATGTTTTAGGAAAATCTTTTATTCACCAAATTAAAAAAAGACAAGCTCCAATCTTTATTAGTATAATTAATTATGCATGAGGTGACTAGACACATCACTCATCATTACACTCACACTAATAGACTGAATGCACTGTCCCGTGTGACTACATATTAATGTGCCAGCAAATGAAAGCCAATATCTGTGCCTGTTTATGTGTGTGAGCTCAGATATAGAGAACATGTGGCCAGTATTTCTGTGTGTGTGTGTGTGTGTGTGTGTGTGTAAGGACAGAGTCAGCCCTGAGGTTATGTAATGAAAACATCTGTGCCAGATAATCTATAACATCATCCATCTATTTTTCTCACATCCCACCCTGTGTCTCTGAGATGCAGCCGTCTCAGACAGAAAAACCGCTGTTATTACGAGAGCTGCAAGATTTCTTAAGTCAAATCCCAACAGACAGACAAAAAGAAAAAGAGCTTCTTTTATTTATTTATCCTTTGCTTTTAACCCGTTATCCCTCCTTCACAACACAAATACTAAGAAACAGAGATGCCTATCTGAGTCTGTCCATATCTGTCCAGCACCGACCCTCTCTCTCTCACACACACACACACACACACACACTCACTCACACACACACACACACACACACACACACACACACA